CCAGATGCCTCAAAATGGTAGCGCAGCGCTTGTTCGCGGGACGGCTGAGCAACAGCTTTGGATGTGGCACAGACGCTTAGGTCATCCGTCTTTCAAGTATCTTAAAAAACTCTTTCCTTCCCTTTCGAGTTCAAACATTTCTTTTGATTGTGAAGCCTGTATTCTAGCAAAAAGTCATAAACATTCTTATCCAAACAGTGATAGTAGAACTGATAAACCTTTTATTTTAATCCATTCTGATGTATGGGGACCAACTCCCGAATTTAATAATCATGGTTTTTTATATTACGTTACCTTTATTGATGATTGCACCAGGATGAGTTGGGTATATTTCCTAAAAAATAAATCTGATGTTTATAAGACTTTTATTTCGTTCTATAAGATGGCTCAAACACAATTTCAAACTCAAATTAGAATCCTTCGATCTGATAATGGTACCGAGTATAAGAACATTGATATGGAAACCTTTACTGAAACAAATGGCCTAATCCACCAAACTACTTGTCGTGATACTCCTCAATAAAACGGCGTAGCCGAAAGGAAAAACCGAACCCTTTTGGAAATGACCCGGGCTATGATGATAGAATCTTCTGTTCCTGCCTATTACTGGCCTGAAGCCATTTCCACAGCCAATTACCTCACCAACCGCCTTCCTACAAAAAGCCTACATTTTTCCACTCCACTAGTTACCCTTAAAAACCATGTCAGTGTTCCTACCACTCACTCGTTACCACCTAGAGTCTTTGGTTGTGTTGTATATGTCCACCTACCCAAATAAGAACGGAATAAACTGGAACCACGGGCTGTCAAATGTGTTTTTGTGGGATATGGAACTACCCAAAAGGGATATCGGTGATTTGACCCAGTCACAAAACGCTTATATACCACTATGGACTGTGACTTTGTCGAAACCGAATTCTATTACCACCACCTTCGATCTCAGTGGGAGAGCCCTAGTGAGGATTTAAGCTGGTTAGTATATCCAGAGCCTGATGTTCCTGAACCAAAAGAGCAGGTAGGCAATACTATCGAGGTGACTGATAATGTTATACAGGCCAATCTTCCTAACACCATGCTCCCTAATCCCACTATGATTGAGGATTCAGTTCAGACAGAAACAAAGGTATGTACTCCAGAATTAGACCATATTTCTGAGTCTGAGTTTCCTAAATCTACTAATATGCCTTCTGAAGAAGAAAATACAGAAACAAAAAATGCAGAAACAGGTGTCACTCCCATGCCAGATCATTTTGATCAAGATGCTCCAAGCAGATATGAGCTACCCCCAAGGAGAACAAGAGGTGTTCCTCTGAGAAGGTATGATCCGGAATTTGAGGCCTAAAGATCGAGGTACCCGATCAACAAGCCGGGAGAAGGAAACCTATCCCAAAGCGCAAAGAGCTACTGTACAGCTATATATTCTGAAAAGATCCCTACCACAACAGAAGAAGCGCTCAGAAGCAAACACTGGAAGACATCCATGGAAGAAGAAATAAAAGCGTTAACCCGGAACAAGACATGGGACAAGTGTGTCCTACCCAGTGGAAAAAAACCCGTGGGCTGCAAGTGGGTCTTTACTATAAAACGTAAGGCAGATGGTAGCATCGAGAGATATAAAGCAAGACTGGTGGCTAAAGGATACACGCAAACTTATGGGGTAGACTACGATGAAACCTTCTCTTCAGTAGCAAACTTCAGCACTATCAGAACGCTGTTCTCAGTAGCAGCAAATAAAGACTGGCCTCTACATCAGTTTGATGTGAAAAACGCGTTCCTTCATGGAGACCTCTCTGAAGAGGTCTGTATGGAGGCTCCACCTGGTTTTTCATAGGATTTCAGAAAAGGCGAAGGTTGCAGACTGAGGAAAGCCTTATATGGGCTAAAACAATCACCAAGAGCATGGTTTGGGAGGTTCACTCTAGCAATGAAGAAATTTGGATATAAGCAGAGCAACGCAGATCATACTCTGTTTTTCAAAAGGAGAGGTAACTTGACAACCTGTCTAATTATTTACGTTGATGACATGATCATAACTGGAGATGATACAAATGAAATAAAACGGCTGAAAGAAAGACTATTCATGGAATTCGAAATGAAAGATCTGGGAAATTTAAAATATTTCCTGGGAATAGAAGTGCTTAGATCAAAAAGAGGCATTTTTATATCCCAAAGGAAGTATATCCTGGATTTTCTAACAGAGACAGGTATGTTGGACTGCAAACCAGCTGATACTCCTATGGTTGTGAATCATGGACTTCAAATTCTCGAACAGGCTGAATCAGTAAACCAGACACAATATCAGAAACTTGTTAGAAAACTGATATACTTATCCCACACCCGACCTGATATAGCCTATGCAGTTGGAGTCGTCAGCAGGTTCATGCACAAACCTCAGAAGCATCATTTGGAAGTCGTATATCGAATCTTGAGATACTTGAAAGGAACCTCTGGAAAAGGAGTCATTTACGAAAAACATGGCAATCTTGATCTCCATGCCTTTACAGATGCAGATTGGGGAGCAGATCGGGATGGGAGAAAATCTACATCTGGATACTTCACCCTGATAGGAGGAAACCTAGTTTCATGGAAGGGTAAACTACAAAAAGTAGTTGCCATGTCTAGTGCTGAAGCAGAATTTAGAGGGATTGCAAAAGGAATCACTGAAGTTCTATGGCTGAGGAAACTCTTGACTGAGCTTAGATATGCTCCCAGGAAAAGCTGCAAGTTGTACTGTGATAATATGGCGGCTATACGTATATCTGAAAATCCGGTTCAACATGACCGCACAAAGCACGTGGAGATAGACAGACATTTTATTAGAGACCACCTAGACGGAAAGGTAATAAGCTTACCATTTGTCCGGTCTGAAGATCAACTGGCAGACATTCTTACAAAAGCAGTTACTATGCAAGCTTTCGAACGAGCGCTAAGCAAGTTGGGTGTTGTAAATCCCACAACCCAGCTTGAGGGGGAGTGTTAGAAAGTAGTAGAACGTTCTGGGAAAATCTTCCTGCCTTATTTAACATGATTGTATCCTTTGTCCTGATTTAGTGCAGAAATTATAGGCTGTAATTAATCTTTGATTAGCTGTAAATTAGGCGCTATTTTTGGCTATTAGAGCAGTATATATTGATGTAAAGGACGTGAAGGAATGTAACACAAAAATTATAGAAAATCACAAAACCAGTTTATAATTTTGACTATCATAAATAATTCACACATCACAAATTATTTACCAACATCAATCCAATCAACAAATTCCAATCATCACCTACCATGATACTACTTGGAACTAACTAAACAAAGCCTAGCATGCTTCTACATATTCAAGTAATTACCAAGTACGCGAACGTACCTTGAATATGATCTCAAAATCGCCACGACTAAAATAAAATCACTCACTTGAAAGTCTCCTACAAACCAAAATTACAAAGAAGTATTAATACCTCTTCGACACAAATTTCAAGCAATATATACCCTCTTTAAATCACTCAGAAACCCTCTAAAACAAGCTGAAATTTAATTTAAAACCCTTACTTTTATTCCCAATTAATGGGTAATTAAAAATCCTTTCAAGAAACATATTTATAGCTTATATATAAAAAATTCCAGCATCATTAAAACTTATAAAATTGCTGTAATTATGTTTAAAAACACTTATTTTAATAATTTAAATCACCCATAAACAATTTCCATCAATAAACATTAATTTAGAAACCTAGGGTTTCCAATTTGGGGCTTTTTAATTCAAAACCAAATTTGAAAATTTATATACAAAATACTTATCATTAAACATCCTAAAATCATCACAAAATCCAAAAATAATAATTAGATTTAGGGTAGATTTAATTTAAAATAAAAACAATAAATAATTTTTTTTTCGAAAGCCCGCAACACCGATACCATAGCCGGTTAAACTGCCTCGCTTGCTGGTGGTGCCGCTGCTGTCGCCGGCGCCTGCTGGTGGCTGCGGCGGTGGTCCAGCGGCGTGTGGTAGGGGTCAGCCGTGTGGTGGTGTATAGTGGTGATTGAAAATAAAATAAAATAAAATAAGTAAAGGGGAAGGGGAAAAATTAAGGAGAAAAGAAAATAAGAGGAGAGAGAGAGTTTAACTTTGGGTGCACTCTACCTTAGGCATATGATAGGTATTTATACCCCCTCTCAATATCCCTTCTACTTAAAATTCCCTTACTACCCTTAATGATCCATTTCCTAGTCAAACTAGTATTTTGACTTTTCTTAAATACCATTGACTTTAAAAATTATCTTTTTATAAAATAATATGCCCAAATATTTCCAAATCATAAAATAAAATATTTTCAAGATTATTAAATATTTAATAATAAACTTTTAATTAAAATAATTCTTTTTAAATTGATAACAACCATAAATAATTCATTTCGAATTATTTAAATACTTTAAGAAATACTTATTAAAATTAAAATACGTATAAAAATACGAGGTATTACACCACATATTTCTAATGTTCATCTATTTCATCTCTATTACAAGTATTAATTAAAATGCTAGAGAAGAACGTATTACGTACAAAACTCCTTCAAAAGACAGGGTTTTTCTTCTCTCTTTTGAGGGTGGATTATTTTTTTTGCTCGATGGTTGTAAAGTTGTTTTATGGGTAAAGATTTGTGCAGGATTGAAAAAAAGCTAAAATTAATCCTTCGATTACAATTAGATGAATCCGACAAAAATCTTCTTCATGGCTACAACAAATCGATAGATCCCCTTGTCAAAGAAGGTTGTATAGCATAGCGATATGACATCCCAATATGAAAAAGTAATAAGAAAAATGTATGAAAAATGTACGATTTGCAACAATGATCGTAGTTTTGTTGGAAGAATGTTTTTATTTTAATTCTATTGTCATGTATTTATTAGATATAAGATGTTGTATGACTTTTTATTTATGAAATAATCTTTATAAAATAAAAAATAAATAAAATTGCGAACAAATAGAGCTAGTTATTCATAAGTTAAGCTGATTCACAACAATCAAAGACCAAATTGTATAATCAACATAAAAAAAATGTATTTGTACATATAAACCAAATCCAGAAAATCCAATTTAACAGGATCAGAATTTCAAGTCACAATAACATGCATTAAAGTATCACATATTACCAAGTTCTGAAGGACAAAAATATAAAATAGAATTTCAGCTAGCTTCTTCATCTTATAATCATATGCTTATACAAGTATAACATTATAGAATGCTTTCACTACTTAACCGAGCAGGGGTCGATCAGGGGAAGGGCGGAATCCATGTTCAAGGGAAGCTTTCCAGATTTTGTCTACGTCGAAGAGCTGATCACCACATTCGTTTACATTCCATCCTTCCAAGGCATGTACAATTCCGGCCACACGCCACGCACTAATCACCCTTCTTGGCAGCCAGTTCTGCTCACACAAGTAAAAATAGGAGCAATTTTTAGTAATAAGGACTTAACTTAGGATATGTCACAATAAATTGGAAAACAGAACAAACCTCGCAACAATGCAAGTTTCCAAAAGACGTAGGTGCCACCATCGATGGAGTGTTTAAGTAGAAGCAGTCTTTTCTTGTTTTCTTGGGAGGGAACTGAGAATAGGGAATCATTATAGTTCCCTTCGATGCCATAGACTGCTCGATTTCTGACAAATCGTCCCCTACTAACCATACCTGCATCAAACAAGAATACTTCATCTCCAAGACCATTAAATGTTAACATCATGTAGTTAAAATTAATTAATGATGATGTATTTTTTTTCCTTATATTACCTTCTCATTGCAGCCTTTTACTGAAAGGGACAGATTCGCGCCATCTTCTTTTGTCATTGTCTTTTTAAGCTTCTCATATCCAGCCTGTCTGACGGTAACAACCTTAATGATACATTAAATTAAAGGCATTAGGTTAATGTCAGTATGTCACCAAGTACCTTATCAAGGTGAAATCATTTAAAGATGCATGGTCCGGTATTAATACTTGCTAGGTTCATTATGGTCCCAATGTTATGAGATTGTTACCTGGATACCCTTGTGGCACAGCGCGGAGACAATGGAGTAAGCAACCTTAGTGAGCCTACCCCTAAACAGAACTCGAGTAGTTCCTGTTGGGATGTTGTTAAGGACCACCGCGACAGCTAAGCTGCTACCATCAACCACTTTCACTTTGAGCTTAGGATGTTTTTCCAAGTGAATTTCACCATTTTTATTAAAATTGTCCCCCTGAAGGAACACGAATCACAGGATTGAGGTTAGCTAGCTATTTATTTATATAACAAGACTAGAAGAGAAAAGAACGATTGAATCTTGTTTGCTTGCCTGATTTAAAAGTCCGAGGCTCACTACTTTGATCCCTTTCTCCTCTGCCTCTAGTATGGCTTCTTCGATCAACTTGTTGATAGCAGCTCGTTGCCATTGTAAAAGATACTACAAGCCAACAAAGACAGGAAAAATCAATTTCTTTTCGTTTTCAACATAAGAAATAAACATAATTTTGAAGTGAGTTTAGAACTTTCATTTCTTGTGAATACATAAAAAAAATGACATGTATCCTGTAAAGTGGTAAAAAAACTTACATGTATCCTATAGCGCGGTACAGCCCATGACTGTGCCTTAAGCTTCTTAAAGGTATTTCTTTCAACGATGAATGTTTGTCCATATATCCATGTCAAGATCATAGACCATAGTGTGAGAGGCCATATGAGCCAGAGATACCATGTCGAGGTCAGAGGATTCGAGGCAAGGCCGGAAAATCCCAATCTAAGTTGGTAAAGAGACTGTGGTGTTGTCATATGAGTAAGATGAACAATATCAGGAACATCATCCGGCTTCTTAAGAGAAGTTTCGTATAGAGTATCCGTGGACTTGTCCATGGTTCCATAGATATAGTCATAAAATGGCATGAAAAGTGAGTAGTTTGTCCTAAACTGAGTATGATGTAGAGAGTGAAACCTGTTACCACAGCAAAAACAGACATATACTGTATATAATAAGCATCCATCTAGGTACAACCTCGAAGTTTCTAGTGATTTTACAACGATAGATATAAGAGATACTTACGAGGGAGTGTACATGAGGTACTTAAGTGGAGGAAATATGGTAAACAACCATTTAGGAACAACCTCGAAGTTGCAATGACCCATATTGTTCATCAAGTCAATGTAAGTAGCATAGATGGTTATTGAAATTATCGAGGAGGTTCGAGTTAATACTGTCGATAGAATTGGAATGGCAAAGAGAATGAAGTATACTATATGTTCAGCAAATGGATGAATCACCGCTGCATATAACAATCAAAAATGAAAAATAAAATGAGAAAATCACAAATACTCCAATTTTTTTTTTAGGTAATGTATATTAATTATATATGATGTGTTACAAGTTATGTAGTGATGACTTACAAGTTATGGGCTCGGTGACAATGGAAGTATGGTGATGGGAGTGGTAGCGCGAGTAGAGATAGTGATGGTGGAGAGCGCGATGGAACCAGTAATAGAGAAACTCCACTGGACCAGCATGAAGCAGGAACATATGAATTAGACCATCAGTTCTCCAAAAGGGCAAGTTTTTTGCAGTTTGTAGCGCCAAATAGCCAACATAAAACAAGATCCCATTCAGCAGTATCTGATCATCCCTATATTATTCAACATACAACAATGTTCAATTTTAATTTTTCATTGTGGTATATGATGTTATGAATGTATCAAGAAATCTGTAAATTAAAATTCTGAGTAATATATGCAATTAGAAGAAGTTTAATCGGCCTTAACATGTTTTTTTTTTCGGGTTGGAAAAAAAAGACATAAAAATGTACACGAGATTTGTTCCCAGGTCTTATGAGTCACCAACTAATTATTTGATTTTTTCTGTTGTTGAATATTTTATGGAATTACTCATCTTACCCTTAGATGGGCTCTCTTTATTTTTTTACTGACCATTTTCCTATACATTGGTCACTCTTCATCCCTTTCATCAAACCTCTCCTTGTTCAAAACTATCTTTTGTGATCAATTCATTAGCCCTAACTCTGGTTGCTAAAATCCAATTACACCGTGATTGGATGGTCCACGTAGGCTTGTACCCATATACTTGTATATACCACAAAGGATATGTTCAATTCAACTTAATTATTTTAAGCAATAGTAAAAGGGTTTGTTCAATTTAATTTAACTAAGCAAATGCATGAGTTTTATTTAATTACATTACGTCGAATTAGGTCAGATCAAAAGAGCAAGATTTAATCTGAAGTTTATTTGATGATTAAGATAGGAGTTTTCCCACCAAGAAGGAAGATCACCCCAATAAAAGGGGTATGTACTAGTTGCTCGTATGTCTAACTTAGAGTCCAGGCCACTAAATTAAAGTTCCACATTAAATCATTGATAGACAAAATCAAGTACGTAGCTAGTATTGATTGTCAAGCTGTCAACTAGTGTAGTGTTTGGCCGACACTCTAAAAATGACCCTGATTAGTGACTAGATTTCAACCCTCACGGTTCTTTAATCCACTATTTGAGAGCTAGACACTTTAAGGGATGGGAAAGGATAAGGTCAGAAATCCTCACCCTCAAGTACCGAGAGAATTTGATGACATACTGACCTCAAGGTTATAAGGTGAATCTACAGCTAACTATATATACTATGCAAGCCTGAGTTTATTTTCACAAACTTGCTAAAAACAATTTTATTTAAGTCTCATTATGGATATACTTTTTTCTAACTGGTCCTATAGGGACATATTTTTTGAAGGGTTTATTTTCACAAACTTGCTAAAACAATTTTATTTAAGTCTCATTATGGATATACTTTTATCTAACTGGTCCTATAGGGACATATTTTTTCAAGTCATAAATCTCATAATGGATACTTTAAGCAATCTAGGACCTTAATTTCCCCACTTTTTGTTTAGTCTAACGATTGAGGTTCTTTAAGAATTCTCTGTATTTATTTTGAATGTTTCATATTTGCTTTAATAATGTACAACTTTGAATTATTGATCGATAGTTTATCTAATTTTCTATAAATAAAGCTTTAAAAAAAAAAAGTTGGTATCTTTAAAACACATCGTTTAGGGTAATTTTGTGTATTCTAACTAAATTAGTTCATTTAATATGTCAAAATATTAACGATGGTACCCAAAATCCGAGCACATCATGTTCAAGAATATTATCTTCAAGGCTGTCAAAGAGTGGCAAGGTCATGTTCATCATCACGAGGTATACACACCCTTTTGCCCGTATCATTAGGCCATCACCGTTTGTGGACCATTTCGTCTCCTCTTAAGAACAAACATGCTTGTATAATTTTTGCCGTGTTAGTAATTACACTTAAGAGCACATACATTTAAGTCATTGATATGACACATGTGCACTATATTTGTGATAAAATCGCATGCAAAAAGACAAATGAGATAAACGAGAACCACTTATGCACGCCCCCATAATAGATTAAATTTAATTTAACTCCAAGCATAACAACTACTAGCAACGAACTTTAAATTCACACAAAGGATATTATTCAACATTATTAACTAATTATAAATTATAGAAGTGAGAAAGGGAAGATGATGAAGATCGATTTTTCGAGTTGTAAACTTGTACGTATAGTATGTAATAAATTTATGTATATACTTCGTATAATATATGTATGTACATACCAATTCCTTTCCCTGTCAACTTGTTCGAACTCTAAGCTCTTATCAAGAATAAGGTTGTTGCCTTTGGCTGTTCGATGCCGCGAAATAGTGATCCAAATTTGGTTGTGAAGCATCCTCCATAGCATGAATGGAAGTATAGCAAGGTACGTTAGATCTCTTTCTTCTGCTCCTACTACATACAAGTATATGCTGTGTACCATAAAAGGTGCCACTACAATATACTTTTGCCAATAATAAAGAAAGATGCACCATTTTGTGAGCACCAAAATTAGACATAAAAGTTAACTTATTCTATGTAAAAAAACACAAAAAAAAAATATTAAAGTTTACTTATTCTATGTCAAAAAAAAAAAAAAAAAAAAAAACACACACACACACATACAAAAAAAAAAAAAAAAAAAAAAAAAAAAAATAAAATAAAAAAAATTACTTAGTTTATTCATGACTCAAATTATAAGAGCATTTTTGCCTTCTTGATCGAGGAGCATTAGCCCCTTTACTCTAAGATCTAAAGTATTTTCCTTCCAAAACTACCCTTATTTATATTATTTTTTTTCTTTTTGAATAATACCCTTATTTAGATGACAAACAGGAATTACTTTGAATGGAGACTCAATTGAAGATAATCAACCTACCTTTTTTTTCCCAAAAAATAATAGACAAGATATATGATAGAGGTACGCTTAATAAATTCTCTGAAGTACTAGGTACTACATTTATTTTGAAACACAATCACTGTTAGTGGATCCATTTTTTCACTATTTATACGAAAGATGCACTAATTATACATTAGTCAAGCATTATTAAAAAAAATTAAACCAAATTCCATGAAAACTAAATCAAGGAAAACCCAATTAATATAGTTTCCACCTTCGAAACAATGCATATTGTATAAATGATATTCACAAAACGACGATATTACATAATAAAATTATTGTTTAATACATTAACACTACATAACAATGTTACTTGATGACCTTTAGTCAAGCATTTTTTAAAAAAGTATGATCAATAATGCAAGTTTTTTCTTTCTAAAACAAGAATGGAAAAAAAAGGTAAAAATTACTTTGTATAATAATTGAAACTTGTAAAAAAACCATCAATACACCATATGTATTATAGTGTATTACCTCCATTTCATACTATTTGCAATGATTTGACATAAATTGTGAGTAGAAAATGTCTAATCATTGCAAATAATATGAAACAGAGTTAGTATATATAATATATTAACGTATAGTTTATAATAAGAATGAAAAATTCAGGGTGTTGTAATTAGCTCATAATGATGAAAATCCATGCAAATATAATAAAAAAAAGATGTGTGTGTGAGAGAGAGAGAGAAACCTTAAAGCTACCAAGAGGCTCCCATGGCCAGTGTGTAAGAACACCAGGAGTATACGCCATAATTCGCTCTATCTATCTTTCTCTCTCTAATAAGTAATGAGACTTAAGACAACTAACTCTATAAAACTTGCTAACGCAAGAGCACTATATATATAAGCCATGGATCGGATTTGCCTAATTAATTATAACAATATATTAATAGGTCCTCAGGTTACTTTTGATGACAACGTATGAAATTTGATACTATTCATGTATATTTATTTGAGCATCTCCAATGAATAGTACATACGGCAAAATTTATTTATGTGAGATTTTATTAGATTTATCTCATTGTATATTTATTTTTATAACAATTTAAATTGTTACCAAGTATAATTTCCAACTATCTATAGTTAGATATTAAATTAATTAAAGTATATTGACAAACGTGAAAGATAAAACCTTACAACAAAAAGTGACCGGAAACTTTATCAATCAACATTATTTTCAAATTAATGTACTTATGTAGGTTTATTTTTTTATTTTTTTATTTTTTAATGGTGTTTAGAGGGCCACAAGGGCGAGTGATGAGAACGACTAACGTGTGACAAACTGATAACTGACATGTAGGTTTTGACTTATGTATGAGAATAGAATTTAATTTACGTTCCTATGTTATCCATAATTATAATAATTTGATATTTCTGTTTTGAAAAAGGACTAGAAATTAATGAACTCGTTTTTAAATAATTGATTGATTTAAATTGTATGTAGCTTAATCTATACGAGTACAAAATTTATAATACTCTGAAATTATAATGATGACATTTTTCAAATTATTTTATTGCAGTCGAATTTATATGTGTCAAATTGATTTTATAATACATGCATGTTACTCATCATACTCTTAGATTATATATTTATATTTTATGACTAATTCACCTTATTTTTTTTGCTCAACTTATTTTCTGCCTAGTGATGTTTTTCCTTTTCATCTACTCTTAAATTCTTAATTCTATAAGTGCTTTTTTTTTATTTTTTTATTTTTTATGACTATATTGTTTGGTCTCATTCGAGTACCTGATAATAATTAATTTTAGGAAAAATTAGTACTGTATATAAGAAGCTAAAATTAAAATGGAAAGAATAGATAATTAATTTTTTCCACTCATTATCATTTACTTTATCTATAGTACATTAGTACATCATTATTCTTACATCTACTTGTCATTATTCTTGATCATTTTAACTTTATCCACCACTTTTATACGGAAGATAAAAAGACATAGAGGGCGTACTTTAATATAGATAGATAAATTAACGGCAAAGGTGAGATATCAAAAGGCGAAAATAATACGGAGTAGTGTTTATTATAGCTAGCACTTGTATACATTGTGGACCACTAGATCACAATTGTACTTGGTATATGCATGACTATATATCTTACCTATAAAAAAGGTAGTAACCGGGAGAAAAACAGCAGTATTAATGGTAAGCAACTACAAACAACCAGGCCAGCAGCTAGCCTAGCAGATAGCAGCTTAGCCCTCTTTATTCAATTTAATGATATGTTCACAATTCAATTGCAATACCAATTAATAAGTAAGCTGTTTCAGTGGACTCTAAATCAACAATTCGAGACAATAATGCCAACTAATATGCAAGTAGCTGACTAATGAATTAGATTATCAACTAGAGATTGCACCATGTCATAAAAAATTTGACTAGGGTTAATACTCCTTCCGTCCCTTAATTAAGAACTTGTAATTCTTTTTGAGGAACTCAAAATTACGTAGAGATTGAATGCGTTATTTAAGTTTTAGGGTTGATTTTAATGAAAATTTAATTATCTGTATTGAAAATGCAGATAGCTAATAAATTGAATTCCTTAAGAAGGTTTTGTAAAGGATATCATCGATCGAAAACAATCATTTGTAAGCTTAATATGAATACATTTTATTCGTTTTCAGACTCGTTGTAATGTCTTAACTTTAAATGTGAAGTAAATGCTTGTTGTAAATTGCACAACTCTAAAATTAAAAACCCAGAGACCACTCAAATAAATATATTGTTTTTTTTTATTTTTTATTTTTTATTTTTTTGGTTGAAAGGAAATAAATATATTGTTAACCTTAGATTTCTTGTTTAGGTTTTGTTATGAAATAGGCAATAAGGTTTGATTTGTGCGGAATAAAAACAATGAATAATAAAATATGAGAAAATTAAAGCAACTAAGAAGATAAATAAAAACACACAAGGATTAGGTGGTTTGGCCAATTAGACATACATCACATGTGGGGGATTCAAGAGTTTTTCTTCACTTTAATGGAGGCAACAAGAGGAATTTACAAGGAGACTAAAATGGCTTAATTGGCCTAATGAAACCTAAAACTCAATGTTTTTCAATAACATAAACTAAAAACCCTTCTATTACTCCCCAAGGCAAAGTACAAGTAGTCGTCGAGACAATAACGGGTCTTAGCAAAACATCAAACGGCAGAGAACAAGGGGCAGAGCGCGGACGGGCACCTTGAACTTGCGCGGATGCATAAAGGGGACACAAGGCTTTGCTTCCCCTTTGTGCAGACGCTCCCCTTTAATTTGGGCGTCCCCGTAAATGCTACTACCTCCCCTTTGAAATGACATTTCTATGACTTTTTTGCACGGTTGCGCAGGATCAGGTAAACTCGGACGCGCTAATAAATCTTTGAGTAGATACGAGTCACACATAACAAATTCAAATCGTGGTCAGGACCATTTGCTCATTTATTTGTTTGAGCTCAAATTCGAGTTGAATTCGAATCAAGTTTGATAAATTAAATGAGGTGGCCTAGCTAGTGATTTTTATGTTTTGTTTTGGTACATTACTTTTATGGTTTAGAATATGCTAGCTAGCTAGATTGAGCTTCTTTTTTAGTTTGATTTTCGAATGATTTATAAATAAATGAGAAGGAGCTTACATACAAAAATGAACATGAACAAATGCATACTGTACAAATTCAAGCAAGCAAGATATGAAGGTGTTCAATTTCGACTCAATTACTATACTTAAGGAGCTTGATTTTATCATGTCCATATACTTACGAGTTTTGACCTAATTAAGTTCTTGGCTTGCTAGTAGTACTGCTCAAGAGCACAATTACAGTACGTATTTATTTTTAGCCCTAGAAAGGAATGGCCATAAATTGATTTAGAAAATTTAGTTTTGCGATATTTATTGTCCAGTACTGTTTCTTGTAAAATGCTATCGAATTTTTTTATTTTTTTAAAGAAAAGCCTATAAAATTATTTGGTAATGGAAGTATGTAATAGAGTGATTATCAGTTGTTACTATGATGATACTTTGGTTTAAAATTACGAAAAATTTGATAATTGACAAACGAACTTTCTCTTCAATTCGCTGTCAAATTTACTTCTTACTGAAAATATAATCATGCAATGGACTATATATGTTGCAGTTTTAGATCACCATAAACTAACTCATCATCACATCGTACTATTTAAATACGTATGAATACTTCATTCGTGTATTAGTACTGATGGTAGATCTTGTTAGTAAACATCAAAATGTCTCCATCCTTTCTCATCAATTGGCTAAGGCTCTTTGACCTTTCATCACCTAGGAATTTACGGCTCTTTAATAATTCCTGACAAATTTAGTTATATGTATTAATTATATTGCTTCAAAAATTCACAATCACAGTGCTTGTTTGGTTGAAAGATATTTCTCTTGGAAATGGAAATTCCTAGGCAATAGTTAAAATATGTTGTGTTTGGTTAGAAATTTTCTAGGAAATAAAATTTCCAATGGAAATGTAAATTCCCACATAGCATAGGAAATAATTCACCAAGCCCACCCTAGGTGAGTGAATTCCTATAATGCATAGGAAGTTATTTCCTAGGAAATACTAATTCCCACGATGTCAACCAAACACTTTTATAGAATTTTTATGCAATTAGCAAGGGAAATAATTTCCCATGGTATATGATTTTACATGGGAATTTATTTCCCATGTTGAACCAAACAAGCATTAAATTTGCTGACATTTTTTTTTCCTCTAATACCATTATACTCCCTCCGTTTTTAAATATTTGCTCCACTTATCATTTTCGGCCGTTTTTAAATACTTGCTTCATTTCCTTATTTTAAAAGCTTTTACAATATTTAATTTATTTTTCTCAACTAGTGGACTCAACATAAATCATATTTTATTAATTTCATATTCTCTCTCCTCCAATTCTCTCAACTATTTTATTAATTTATCTTAAAACTCCACGCATGGAAAAATGAAACAAGTATTTAAAAAGAGAGGGAGTATTCGTTAGACTCTCTTTTAAGGTATACATACTTTCAAATCATTCTATATTGAATTATTTACATTATGATTTATGAATGATGTACTAATGCATTACCACACACTAAATGATCCACCTTTTATAGTACATGTGATCATCATGAATGTAGGAGATGTGAGACTTGTGACTTTTGAGTCTTGCGACTACGATATAACGTACTTCATGATATTAATATTTATCGCCCAGTTTTATGAAATACCAGCATTCTAAATTTATAAGGTTTTTTCATTTGAAATTTCCTAAATTTATAAGGTTTTTTCATTTGAAAATTTCTAAATTTATAAGGTTGGTCGAATTTATTATGGTCTTTTTACCGAGTGTACTCAAATTATTCCTTATAAAGCGAGAAACTTACTTTATCAAACAAACTTAAATAGAAAGTAAGAAGTAATTTTTTAAATAGAGGGAAGATGACCAAGATGTAAGTACTTCCTTTTATCTTCTTTTTATTGCCAAATGAATGAAAAAATGATAGATGAAAAAAAAAAAAGAAAAAAAAAAACTAGATTACCATTATTATAAAGTAAAATTAAATCCGAAGTTGATAATTTTTTTATGTGGAGAAAAGGGGGACCAAACTTTGAAGAAGGCGTGAAAGGCAATGAGACACATATATACAAACTATTTATTTCCTTTTGAAAATCATGTATACAAACATTATATAGTAAGACATATGGGCCATTGATATATGTTGTAGAAATCAATTTTCATGGCTAGGTTTCAATTAGACCAATTTTTGGACATGATTTGTTAGTCTAAATTAAATGGTACTCATCATAGTAATTAATGAAACAGAGAATTTATTTAATTTTTATTTCTA